CCGATTGCCTTTTTCCCAAGTCCAGGTGCTGCTGCTGCTGCTGCTGCTGCTGCTGCTGCTGATGATTGTGATGATTATGGTGGTTGTGATGATGGTGATGATGATTGTCCGCTGATGACTGGACAAAGAGTTTAGGATTGCCTTTTTCCACAGTCCAGGTGCTGCTGCTGCTGCTGCTGCTGCTGCTGCTGCTGCTGCTGCTGCTGATTGTGGGGATTATGGTGGTTGTGGTGATGGTGGTGATGATTGTCCGCTGCTGACTGGTCAAAGAGTTTTGGATTGCCTTTTTCCCACAGTCCAGGTGCTGCTGCTGCTGCTGCTGCTGCTGCTGCTGCTGCTGCTGCTGCTGATTGTGGGGATTATGGTGGTTGTGGTGATGGTGGTGATGATTGTCCGCTGCTGACTGGTCAAAGAGTTTTGGATTGCCTTTTTCCCACAGTCCAGGTGCTGCTGCTGCTGCTGCTGCTGCTGCTGCTGCTGCTGCTGATTGTGGGGATTATGGTGGTTGTGGTGATGGTGGTGATGATTGTCCGCTGCTGACTGGTCAAAGAGTTTTGGATTGCCTTTTTCCCACAGTCCAGGTGCTGCTGCTGCTGCTGCTGCTGCTGCTGCTGCTGCTGATTGTGGGGATTATGGTGGTTGTGGTGATGGTGGTGATGATTGTCCGCTGCTGACTGGTCAAAGAGTTTGGGATTGCCTTTTTCCCACAGTCCAGGTGCTGCTGCTGCTGCTGCTGCTGCTGCTGCTGCTGCTGCTGCTGCTGATTGTGGTGATTATGGTGGTGGTGGTGATGGTGGTGATGATTGTCCGCTGCTGACTGGTCAAAGAGTTTTGGATTGCCTTTTTCCCACAGTGCAGGTGCTGCTGCTGCTGCTGCTGCTGCTGCTGCTGCTGCTGATTGTGGGGATTATGGTGGTTGTGGTGATGGTGGTGATGATTGTCCGCTGCTGACTGGTCAAAGAGTTTTGGATTGCCTTTTTCCCACAGTCCAGGTGCTGCTGCTGCTGCTGCTGCTGCTGCTGCTGCTGCTGATTGTGGGGATTATGGTGGTTGTGGTGATGGTGGTGATGATTGTCCGCTGCTGACTGGTCAAAGAGTTTTGGATTGCCTTTTTCCCACAGTCCAGGTGCTGCTGCTGCTACTGCTGCTGCTGCTGCTGCTGCTGCTGCTGTGTTACTTCAGGGCGGTACATGCGCCATCCCCGGAGCGTTTGGGTGCGGGAAGACCTGCATTTCGCAAGTGAGAAGGGTTTAGGGTTTAGGGTTTAGTGTTCTGGGAGTAGGGTTTAGCTAGTCTCCAGCAGACCCGTGGAGCTGCTGCTTCTCTCCACTGCTGCTGCTGCTGCTGCTGCCTCTCCTCTCCGCTGCTGCTGCTTCCCCTCTCCGCCGCCGCTGCCGCTTCCCCCCTCCGCTGCTGCTGCCCCGCCCCTCCGCCTACGCCTCCCCCCGCCCACCCCCCTGCCGCCACCGCCACCGCTGCTGCTGCTGCTGCTGCTGCTGCTGCTGCAGGCGCTGTCGAAGTACAGCAACAGCGAGGTGATAGTGTACGTGGGCTGCGGCGAACGCGGCAATGAAATGGCCGAAGTGCTGGCGGACTTTCCGGAGCTGACGACGACAGTGGACGGCAAGGAAGAAGGCATAATGCAGCGCACTTGCCTCGTGGCCAACACGAGCAACATGCCAGTTGCTGCTAGGGAGGCCTCCATCTACACAGGTCTGCTGCTGCTGCTGCTGCTGCTGCTGCTGCTGCTGTTCACTACTGTTCTTACTCTGGGTGGGGAGGCGGTTGTGGTTGGAGTGCTGGTTTATTTGCCTCGTGGCCAACACGAGCAACATGCCAGTTGCTGCTAGGGAGGCCTCCATCTACACAGGTCTGCTGCTGCTGCTGCTGCTGCTGCTGCTGCTGCTGTTCACTACTGTTCTTACTCTGGGTGGGGAGGCGGTTGTGGTTGGAGTGCTGGTTTATTTGCCTCGTGGCCAACACGAGCAACATGCCAGTTGCTGCTAGGGAGGCCTCCATCTACACAGGTCTGCTGCTGCTGCTGCTGCTGCTGCTGCTGCTGCTGTTCACTACTGTTCTTACTCTGGGTGGG